TTTTCAACCATTCATTTTTCAAAAAAATATTATTTCACCCATTTTTATTTTCAGAAAATGGGGGCCAAACGAGGGCTTAATGGTCAAATTAATATAGATATACATTCCCAGATGACATTATTGTTGACTTGTCAAATTTTGGGCCATTAATTTTTTAAAATATTATTAAAATTGAGGTATAAAAAACTGTAAACTCTCGAGAAAGGTCAATGTCTTTTGGTTGAGGTAGATTTTTGCAGCTGTCACAATCAATCCACAAGATAGCTAGCCAAAAATAAGTTGGATTACATTTTTTCTTTTTCTTTTTAAATGAAAAATGGATTTAGGGTTCCATCAATTTTAAAGTACCAATTTTTAATGCTTACAATTCACTAAGTTAAATAAGCGAAATACAGTTTAAAAAACAAAAAGGCTAGAATCTTGGAAAATTTAAGTAGAAGAAAAACATGTACAGTCCTCAAATCCAGAAAGTAGTGCAGAAAAATTCAGTTTCACTGCTTGCGCAGGAACAATGCTGTCAAAATTTCCCCATATGCTGCCGGTTGGGTTTTCTTTTCCTTTTTTTTCTTTTTTTCTTTTTCTTTTTTTGGTCATTGTCTAATATAAAACTATTCTATGAAAATTCTGGCGACATATTTCCGTACACATAGCAGATTTCAGAAAAAATATTGTACTGGATTAAAAATCAAATAAAAACTCCATCTTTAAATTTCTTTAAATCTGACTCATCTGCAGACCAAGAAAGTTTAATGGAAATCTGCCGGATAGAGATTCAAGAAAATGATGGTTGGAAAATGATGGAGGTACCAAAAGGTTCAAGGAATCAAGCTTTAATGCTGTCAAACGCCAATTGATTGGTCAACAATTTATACCATAATCCACTACTAGACGATAGTTGATACCCAGAACTGATGTTTACCGCAGAACAAATATTGACCACCCAAACTAGTAGAAGCCTAATATGCTATCAAACATTTGAAGAGACTTGCTAGAAATCCGGGATTGAAAAGAGCATTCTTGAAGGAGTAATCCCCTCATCCAGGGCACCCAACAGCCCTTGATTTCTACCATCTCTCATTCTTGAAAAGTTGACTGATAAATGGACTGATGGCATATATCTCTGGCCTAATGTGTACAAAATAATTCAAGGATAAACTCATATTTCAACTTTGCAATAAAAAATATTTATTTTTCAAATCCCCGGATGCAAAACTTCACCGTGTTAACTTTATCCTTCAAAAAATATCTATGTTTCCCTTCAATAAAACCTCAATTTACTCCAAGTGTCGCTCTATCTTCTCAACTCCCTTCAATAAAACCTCAATTTACTCCAAGTGTCGCTCTATCTTCTCAACTCCCTTCAATAAAACCTCAATTTACTCCAAGTGTCGCTCTATCTTCTCAACTCCCTTCAATAAAACCTCAATTTACTCCAAGTGTCGCTCTATCTTCTCAACTCCCTTCAATAAAACCTCAATTTACACCAAGTGTCGCTCTATCTTCTTTACTCTCCACCACCACCTCTCCTACAGCACCTTCCCTTCATCACAAACACTGGACATAAATCCCTTTCCTCACCACGTGTCTCTACAATAGGGACGTAGAAGCAACATCTGCCAAGAAAAAAGGTGAAGTTTAATTTCTAGTTAAGGAAGACAGGAACGAAGTGAGTGTAGAGAAGAAAAATATTCAAACACGCCGTTTTAAAGAATAAATAATTGAGTGTTTTCAGAGTATTGAGAGTAACATTTTGAACTTCTCAACTAAATGGAGGGTGTAAAAAGGGTAAAAGTAGTTGTGATCTAAGTAAAATGACAATACTCACTAAGAAAAGGAAAATGTCTGTACTAGGAAAACCCACAAAAATAACACCAAATTTAATCTAAGAGGCATACACAAGTCACAATAATAGCAGCAGCCAGTTAAACACTTTCAACAAAATGGAATACAGTATTTCCAAAGTTCGACATGCAGTAAAATAAAGTGGAATAGTTTCTTTTATTCAAGCAAAGCAAGTGCAACAAGACTGGGAAGAGAAAACATGGGTCCAAGCATCTACACTTCTTGTGTTCAACATCTCTGGCATTGTTGTTCATGGGATTATCCACCTGCACACATTGTTAAAGTCAGTTATATGAAAAGAAAAATGTAATAACTAAACAGTAAAATTTATCTTTCGTTAAATATTCTGCCTGCAAATTACGAATCAATTCTATTCCGTTCAAGTGCAGTCAGTATGCTTCCTATTAGAAGTTTTAAGCTAGTTTATTTCAAACTCACAAATAAAAGAACTGATTTAAGGCTGTTGATTTACTTCTAATCTAACATCTGAAATATTTAAAAGATGTCTTTCCTACCTTTTAACTGGTGTTATTTGAGAAATTCAGAAAGTTCAAACACTCATAGATGTCGGAAATTTTTTGCATCGCTAGACTAGCAATAAGTTTCAATCTTGTGCAAGATTAAAACGAGAAAACTCCTGCCTGTAAAACTTGTTATCTTGGACTTCTATTTTGTACAACAGAAATCATCAAGGAATATGATTCACATCCTCAATTAGAGAACCAAGCATGTAACGGAAAAATTTATAATACATTGACAAAAAAAAAAAAAAAAACACACTTGGAAAGCCTAATAATTTGGGCAGGAACCAGTATAGTAAAAGGAAAAAAAGAAAAAATAAAGTTTCTATCGTGCTGAATATTGGAAGAATTAATTCACTCTGGATCTCCAAAAAAAATTTTGCTCCTTAAGTTCTCAATAGGAGTGCATATATCAAGTCAGGAGAGTAACAAGTAAAAAATAAAAAAAAAATAAAAAATAAAAAAATAATAATAATAATAAAATAAAAAGAATAAATTTACCTGTGAAGGCAGCATTCCTGAGCTCGAAATAATGGAGATCATTGATCTTGATCTGGAGGATAAACAGAAAGCTTAAATACAATACGTTTGGTGCTTTGCTTCTCAGCCTCATTTTTCATCTTTTTCTTATGCTTTTGGATTTTCTGGGCAGAAGCAGCAGCTGATTTGGTGGTACAGTACAAGTCAATTAGCTGGAGGCTTGAAACATCTGCCAGGCTGAATGGCACTTCTTCAAGGCTACTGCAGTGTTTAAGATAAAGGCTCCTGAGTCTCGGGAAGTGATGAGTTGAAGCATGCCAATGGACTAAATCTGTCTTTCCAATAAACAAAACTTTGAGAGCACGGAAACCTCCATCCTCCGGCTGCCACCAATCTCCCTTGAACGCGTTGTCTTTTAACTTGAGGATCTCGAGGCTTTCCAACATTCCCAATGTAGCCATTTGATTCCAGTCAAGAAGGGTGTCTGCCAATGTCAGCTTCTTTAGCTTTGGTGGAAAGTTATACCTTTGGGGAAGGCCAGCTAGTTTGCCTTCAGAAGGTGGATCAGGAAAAACATCATTCAGTAGCTTCAAATCTTCTAGGTAATCCAATTTTCCCAGGCTACCAAACAAACTAGATGCACCCCTGGTATCCAAAAGTTTAGCTAATCGGCCACGAATACCCAACTTCTTTAGGTTAGGAGCCCTTGCGAAGACATCTTCTGTGCAGCTTTCAGGACATATTGTAGAAAGTGTTCTTAGGTTTGCATTTATCAAAGAATCATCTTTCCTTTTTCTTGATTTAGCAAGAGGACCATGTAAAAATGTGGATGCATTTGTTTTTAGATGCCTCAGTTGTATCATCTTCCATATATCTCCTTTGATTTCAAGGGTTCTTGATGAAGTCTCAACTATAAGAGATTGCATGTTCCAAAGGCTAGAAATGGCAGCAGGGAGGATCTTGAAATTGCTTGACAGAACAAGATACCTCAAATGAACGAGTTGAGTTAGATCAGTAGGAAAACGAGTGAACAAGATGGGTTTAGCATCTAAAACCCTGAGCAATTTAAATGCTCCAGGTATGGAGGAAATGTGTTCAGCTTGCAAGACAATTTCTTCAGAGGAGAAACACAAGAAGGACCGAACACGAGGACCAGATGGTTTTGAAGAGAGATAATTCAAAATACGGGAATGAATGCAAAGGCGACGGTACATGTCCATGGCAGGGTAGGAAGATGAATAGGTAACACGATCAAACCGTTTAATTTCTTGGAAAAAGTTTTCCTGTGCAGCTTGTTTCTTGCAAAACACGTGTAGCATATCATGAACATGGCACGTTTTAACTTTTCCGTTTGACCTCCGTTTTCCAACCATGACTAAATTCCTGTTGACAAGATCATCTAAGTACTCCTCCGCAATATCCTCCAGGCTCATTCCCTCCTTCTGTTGTATGAACCCTTCAGCGATCCACAAGTGAACCAATTTCCACACCGGGATTTGGAAATCTTCTGGAAACATTCCAAAGTAGAGAAAGCATGCTCTCAAGTGATAAGGTAAGTGATTAAAACTTAAAGCTATAAAACTGTCCATGCGTTTCTCCTGATCCATGGAAAGATATGCATCCACACTTTGAGCAACCTTATCCCACCAATAACTTTCAGTACCTTTTTCCAGTAGAATTCCTCCAATCACCACTAGAGCAAGTGGAAGTCCACCACATTCTCTGGCTATATGCTTTCCAGGTTGTAACAACTCATCAGGACATTCCTCTCCGCCAAGTGCCTTCCTTTGGAGCAATGTCCAACTCTCATCCGAAGTTAGAAAACGCAAATTATGGGGCTCCATGGTGGGGTTAGCATGCACAGCCACTCTCCTGATACGACTAGTGAGTAATATTCTACTTCGCTTCTTATTTCTGGGAAAAGCAATTTTGAGATCATTCCATGCATCTTCAGTCCAGACATCATCCATGACAATTAAATACTTTCCTTTCTCCAGAAACGCACAAAGTTCCCTAGCTATACTTTCCTCATTCATCCTATACATCTCATCACTGGGCTTAGCAAAATGACCCCAAATATTGAGGAACACTTCCTTTCTACTATATTCTTGAGAAACGTAAACCCATGCTCGATTGTAGAATTCATATTCAATTTTAGGATCACGATATATCATTTTTGCCAGCGTTGTCTTACCAAGGCCGGGCATACCAACAATTGATATAACTTCTAGTTCGTCCGATCCTCCAGTGAGAAGATTAGTAACCTTTTCTGCCTCATCTTCAAATCCCACCACATTGTCTTCCTCTACAATGGGAGCCTATATTATAGTGAACAATAATTGTATCACAAAACCAAAAAATGAGGTGCCAATATTTTAATGAATTAGAGATTGGAATGCAAGCAAGACTAATGTATCACTATGTCAAAATCCTAACAATATAAATTAACTTAGCATTTTATTTGATAATAGACTAGAAAGCCTGTCAAAGGCTTTAGGATAACAAAGAAAGGTAATCAAACATTTATATGTTAAAGCATGAGGCAAAGGAGAGTAAATCAAAATTAGTAATTTAGCATTAAACAATTCAATCCTAGAAAGATTGCAGTGACTTTCTAGTCAACTCAGTTTCTGTTGTAAATGATGGATCCAGTTTGAGTAAATCAAAATAGTAATTTAGCTTTAAACAATTCAATCCTAGAAAGATTGCAGTAACTTTTTAGTCAACTCAGTTTTTGCTGTAAATGATGGATCCAGTTTTTATTATCCACTCAAGAAAACAGAGAATTTGAAGATAAAATCAGAGTAATGGAACAGGTATATTACCTTTTTCTCCTTTGATTTTCTAGATCCATCCCCATCTTGCAGTGCCTCAAACCCAAACTTCTTGTGTTCATATATATCCTTCACCTTGGTCCTGATGTCCTCAATCCTTTTGGCCACACTTCGAAGCTTTGCAGGATAATCGAATATATGAAAAGCTCTCTCGATGCTACTCCTGGACTTGTGCACAGCTGCCTGAGCAACAAACGTGTCCACAGTATCTTCAGCTTCATAAACTACGTCTCTGATTTGTTTCACCATTTCTTGGAGCGTGGCATTCTTGTTCCGCTTCTCGGTCGAGTCCTTGAGGAAAGCTTTGAACAGACTCAGATCATTGTACAGAAATTCCACTTGACCCTTTACATCGAGAATCAGATTAGCATTGTAAAGAAGCAACTGCTTCAAGTTTTCTAGGAGAAATTCCACTGCAGCATCAGACATTTTTTGTTCGATTAAAAAGAAAGGAAAATCTTACTATAACAATAAGTTGGTCTGAAGTAGAGATTAGAAAGAAAGATTGAAGAAGGAAGGTGAGAAGAAGCTTGGATCTTTTCAGGAAATTAATGCTTTTGGAAGATTGAAGAAGGAAGGAACTGAGAAGAAGCTTGGATCTTTTCTGGAAATTAATGCTTTTGGAACCAGTTTCGGGCCGGGCTCAATTATTGACATCACCAAGCGGCCAAGTCATTGTATAATGTTTTATTCTCAACCCGATTGCCTACGAACTTTTTAATTAATGTAAGATTGGAGTAATTCTTAAAGGTGTGTTCATATTGGGAGACTCGCTGACTTGAGAAAATTGGTGGTCTGCGGAAATCAATTAGCGGTGGTAAAGAGATTAAGTCACTCGTCAGCTAATGGGTTCGATTCGTTCGGACTTGATTCATGACCTATTTGAGCGCATATTGTCACAAATAATTGGTCAAGTTGAGTCGACTTATTTTGAGCTCATGAGTCGAATGGATTTTGGCTCATTTTGGGCTTATTACATTACTTAAAAAATGGAGTAAGCCCATAAAACTCACAAGCCAAAGGGCCGAGCCAAGCCCATCCAAACTAGCTAAGTGCTACCCCTACCCACCACTAGTTGCTCCGCCATTGCTTAAAAAATAAAAAAGGTTGAACCCCAACCTTGAGGTCCGTACCGCCTCGCCCTTAGAGCTTTGTGAGGGAGGTAAATCGCGAGATGTGCTCCAGTAGGTTAGGGAACAAAAGCTGCCTGTACACTGCGCCTACAAGGACTCCAATTCTATATTTCAGGTATCGAACCCCCACACTGCGGCTGCCAGCAAGGCGTGAGATAATCTCACTCGTATCCTTTGCACCACTAATCTATGCCTCGAGGGGCAGTTGCTCGCCATTGCTAGCTCTATTTGAAATGAGCTATAGCCTATACCTGAAAATAGGACAAAGCATTTTAATCGAAATCGAATTGAAATTGGTCGAGCTAAAAAAAAAAAAAAACAAACAAACAAAATTAAGAGCGGAACTGATAATTGAGAACCAATTAATTCCAAGTCGGTTCTTGATTCTTGAACCAGATCGTGGATATCTAAATGAATCGATTTTTTAGGGTGATTAGAATAAAAAGTTCTTATTTTTCAATGTTATTATACAAAATGTTCATATCTTTCATTTTTTTTTTTGGCATTTTTACACCTATTTTTACCTTTTTATTACAAAAATGTTATTTTCATACAATTTCTCAATTAAAAATGTAAAATGACAAATATACCCTCAAATTTAAATAAAACACAAAAAAGAAAAGAAAAATTTTAAAAACAATTTGCAATTATTTACCCAAACTTTTTAAAAATTGCAAATGGTTCCAAATAAATTATTAAAAAGGTAATTAACACAAACGTCCCTGACTTTCAATATTATTGTGAAAAACATTCATAACTTTCATTTTGGACATTTTCATCCTTATTTTCACATTTGATTGTGGAAATAATCACTTTCATCCATTTTTTCATTTAAAAGCTGAAAAATGATGAATATGCCTTCATATTTAAATTTAAAAAAAGAAAAGAAAAAAAAACACTCTTGTCATGATCTAGAATCGTACCTCGTACCTATATATTTAATCCACTTTAATTAAAAAATAAATTTTTTTATCGAGCTGCATGCTCATGTTTCCACCGAATCCTTTTGGACGAGTCTCACATGTGAAAATGCGACATTTATTTCTTTATTAAAATAGTAAATTATGTAAACATAGCACTACAAAAATAATTGAAGGTTGATTCCCTAATAAGCAAATTTTTTATATTAATTGACTTAAAACTATTATGCTGTCGAGCAACAAAATCTATACATCAATTTTATCTTTTTCTTATTCATAAAACGGGGAAATTGCAGCCACGGTACCAAATATTTCGTTCATTAACAGACTTGATTCAAATCTTTCATTTGTGCCAACGGAGGTATCAAACCTTTTTTAAAAAATCACCTTGACCGTTAGTTGACCAGAATAATTAATTTTGACTATATTTTAAGGGGTAGAAATGTAACTTTAGATTTTTATATTAAAGAATTAAAACAATTAAATTTAAAAAACCAAAAATAAAAAAGAAAAGAGTTTGAAAAACTTCTCTTCTTCTTCCCTACCGGCCTACCCTAACCCCACCCCACCTCATAGAAGCCAAACCAACGTCCACCCACTCCACTGCCATCCACCACTCCCAAATCAATCAATGACCGTTATCAACCATTCCCAAACCATCGCACCACGACCGCCACTAAAGTCACAGCAAACAATTCATATCATTGCCCACACCAAACTAAAACCCACAACCACTGCCACAACACAACTCCACCAATTTCAAGAATTTGAGCAATAAATCATCAAATCATAACTTCCAACTGTAGTCTCAAATGTCATGTATAAGTCGTGATGGCTCCAGTCAAATTTGAGTATGGATTTCAGAGCTCCGTCCTTTTTGAATAGTCGGAAAATATCATGAATTTTTTCTTCCAACACAAAATTGAGTAAATAACAAAAGAATCAATGGAGAAATTATTAGGTAATCAGTTAGAATAGGAATAGAGATAAACAAGAGGTTTATAAATCGACTGCTACAGTTGAAATAAAACCAGCCCAACTATTGCAAAATCTTGGAATAGGCATCCAAAGAGAGACAAATAATGCTAAAGTGTAGGTCAGGTAGTGATAGGCATCGACGGTAGTGAGGGGCAAGTGGTGGGTGTTGGATGATTTTTGTGAATAGTGACGCCGAAATAAGTATAATGATGGTGACAAAGCCGAGGCAAGAGTTGAACTCTTTGTCCTTAAGTCGAATTTGCCCCGCAACGGTGCCTACGGATTTTGGCAATCGACTCCCAAGATATAACGGCTACACTTGTGTTTGTAGCACTCCAAAACACAAGTACAACGAACCAAATTTAGGCTTATGTACTCCAAGGATGAAATGAAAGAAAATCAAAATAAATGAAATGATTTTGATTTTGGACAGAAGAGAGGATGAGAGACGTTTTGCATATCAAATTGTGTAGAATAGGACACCCAAAGGGTCCTATTTATAGACCATGAAAGGGTGTGGACGAAATGGTTGAGGCCAAACCATGCACCCTTTCCAAACAATGCACCTTTATGAAAAGGTGTCTATTCACTGATTTTCGTCCTTTTTCTTTATTTCTCATTCATCCGATACAGGTCGATCCCCGTTTGTGCGCCCCGAAGCGGCGAAGTGGCAAACAATTTTACTTAAACGGATTGAGTCAAGCTTTTGAGTATTTGGCCAAAGTCGGTACGAACTTTAATCGATTTTTCAATTCTCGATTTATTTAACCAATATCCAACAGTGGGGTGAGTTGCACCGGTGGTTTCGGTTCCTGGTTTTGATTTTTGGAGGTGGGTATGTGTAGGATATGTAGAGAAGTGTATTTCTGTTTTAGGTTTCTATTTTAATTGTTTTTAATAGAAAATATAATTTTGCCATTTTAACATTTTAAAATTAATTAAAATTTGAGTAAAATGTTGACTCTAGGTCAACTAACGGATGAACTAACGGTTTTTATCCATATGAATTCCAGGTGAGATTTTTTTTTTAAACGTAACTAACGGTTTTTATCCATATGAATTCCAGGTGAGATTTTTTTTTAAAGGTTCGGTATTTTCGGTGACACTAATGAAAGGTTCGGATCAAATCTGCTATTAAATGAAAGGTTTGGTAACATGGTTGCAATTTTCCCTTCATAAAACTGATAACTTTGAAACGAGATGAAATTTTGGTAATGCGCAGTAATTTAGATTAATATTGTGCATAGTTTTCTCTCATTTCAGACAAATTTACAAATGGATTTGTTATAGACATAAGGAGAATTCTGGAAGAAAGGCAATTGAGGTCATATTGTCAATGTACAGTAATCCCTATTTTTTTTATTTTTTGCTTTCTGCATCTTCATTATTATAGGGGCTCGTCGAAAAGGAAGACATTCTAGTAGGAAGGCCAACCACTATATAAATCGAAATGAATCAGAGAGGTAAGCTACAGTTTTTCGTTTCCTCACTAACTTGCCATGGATTCCATGGTAAATTTGTCGACAAAACTATTTCGTCCATAAATTCCGTAGTAAATTTGCAATGAAGTACTTGAACATGTCACTGCGCATGACAATAGGTTACTGATACCTTTAGAGATGAATGTTTTCGTCGTTAAAATTACCGTTTTTGTAGTGTTAGTGTTTTTAACTTCATGCAATTCTACACAGATAAAAAAGTGCAAGCTTTGCTATATAGATACTATCGGTTCAATGAAATGCAAGTTTCATTTTTCAATGTCAAGATCACTCAACCACAAAAACAACTCAGAAGTCATAACACAGATGCAAGGTCAAAAGTACCAATATTTCAACACATTATACAAAATAAAATGCAAAATTTCTCAAGTTTAACATACAATAAACTGAGGACAACAGTTTGTTTCATTCCAGCTAGCATAATGAGATCCGGAAGCAAACCCATGTCACCGTGCATCAAAACTCCATTTGTTCAACATTCTTGGCATTGTTACTCATTGATTTATCTGCGTGCATAAATCATACACAGTATGAAAACAGAGTCGAAATTTACAAATAATTATCTTTTAGTGGAATCATCTGCCTGCAAATCATGGACTCAATCTTACTCTGTTTAAGTGAAATATATATGCTTCAGATTTGAAGTTGAGTGAGTTTGATTATAGGCTCACAAACGAAAGAATGATATCAGCTTGTTCATCTAAATTTGCCGTCATTCAAGAAGTTCCAAAAGTTGTAATCAGTGATAAAGTTTTATTCTGCTGTACTAAAATTTGGTCTATTGGAGTTCAACTTCATACAACACAATTAGAAATATTATTGTTGAATATCTGTCAAGATTTGCATGATTCGCATACTAACCAATGTCAATTCAGCTAACAGAGCATATAACTGTGTATCTAATTATCTGATTATTGATATATTAAGTAACATGATCATTTAAAAGCATGTAAATAAATGGTTCATAAGTTAAAACAAAATGTTAGTCTTCAATAGAAGTTGGCTTACTTGCAAGCTTTTACAGTATATCCCCGCGTGTGATCACTGATTTTTGGCTGGAGCGTCTGGAGGATAAATGTTAAGCTGAAATCCACTGCCTTTGGTGCTTTGCTGGTCTTGAAAGTTCTTTTTAAGCAGTTCAATTTTTCGGGCAGAAGCAGCAGCTGATTTGGAGGTACAGTACAAGTCCATTATTTGTAGGCTTGAAATGTCACCAAGGCCTGATGGCACTTCATAGAGATAACTGCAGTGTTTAAGATAAAGACGCCAAAGTTTTGGAAAATGATCTGCTGAAGCATTCCAAGAAACTAAATTTGTCTTTCCAATATGCAAGATCCTGAGAGCACGAAAACCTCCCTCCTCTGCCTGCCACATTATTCCCTCAAATGCATTGTCTTTCAACTTGAGAATCTCAAGGTTTTCCAATTTTCCCAGCGTAGACATGTGCTTCCAATCAAGCAGTGTGTCTGATAGCGTTAGCTTGTTTAGCTTCGGTGGAAATTTGTACATTTGAGGTAGGCTTAGTTTTCCTTCAGCAGGTGACCCCGGAAATACATCATTCATTAGCTTCAAATTTTCAAGATTAACCAAAATTTTCCCCAGACTGTCGAACAAAGTAGATCCACCCTTATCCCCCAGAAGTTTAAATAATTGGCCGCGAATACCCAATTTCTTTAAGTTTGGAGCTGCAGCAAAGACATCTTCAGAACAACTCTCAGGAGATATTGTAGAAAGTGTTACTAGGCTACCACTTTTCAAAGAGTCTTCTTTACATTTTCTAGTTTTGGTAAGGACAGCTGGCAATCGCATCAAAGAGTCTTCTTTACTCTTACCTGTTTTGGGCAAAGATGTGGATGCATTTATTTCAAGATGCCTGAGCTGAATCATCTTCCATATGTCTGCTTTGATTTCAAGGGTGCGTAACGATGTCACGACTATGAGAGTTTGCAAGTTCCTGAGGTTGGAAATAGTTGCGGGAAGCACTTGGAAGGCAATGGAGAGAACAAGATACCTCAAATGAATCAATTGAGTTAGGTCAGAAGGAAAACGAGGGAAAGTGATGGGTCTACCATCTAACACCCTGAGCAACTTAAAGCTTCCAGGGATGGAAGAAACATGATCGAGTGACAATGTAATATCTTCGCCAGAGAAACACAACAAAGACCGAACACGAGGACCAAATTGTTTAGACGAGATAAAATTAGAAATGCCAGAATGAACGCCAAGACGACGGTACTCATCAAAGGGAAGGGTACTGGAAAATGAATAGGTACCTCGATTGAACTCTTTAATTTCATAGAAAAAATTTTGTTCTGCACCTTCCTTCTTGCAAAACTCATGGAGCATGTCATGAACGTGGCATATTTTAACTTTACCATTTGACTTCCATTTTCCAACCATTACTAAATTCCTGTTGACAAGATCCTCCAAGTATTCCTCTGCAATATCCTCCAAGTTCATCCCTTCTTCTTTTTGTATGAATCCTTCAGCAGTCCACAGCTGAAGCAATTTCGACACTGGGATTTCGAAGTCTTCTGGGAACATCCCAAAATAGAGAAAACATGCTTTCAAGTGATACGGTAAGTTCTGGAAGCTAAGTGCTATAAGTTTATCCATGCGTTCCTCCCGGTCTAGGTTTAAATATGCATGCACCCTCCCCGCGACTTTCTCCCACCAATAAATTTCGATACCTTTTCCTAGAAGAACTCCTCCAATTATCCCTATTGCGAGTGGTAGTCCCTCACATTCTTTGGCTATACGTTTTCCATGCTCTATCAACTCTTGATCAAGGCACTGCTTTGTGCCTAGTGCCTTCTGTTGGAGTGATGTCCAACTTTCATGAGGAGTTAAAAAACGCAAGCAATGAGGATCCCTATTTGGGTTTGCGTGTTTACCTACACTAAGTATACGACTAGTCAGTAAAATTCTACTCCGATTCTTGTTCTTGGGAAAAGCCAGTTTGAGATCATCCCAAACATATTCTTTCCAAACATCGTCCATGACAATCAAATATTTTCCTTTCTCCAAAAATCTATGAAGTTCATTAGCTAATCTTTCAGCATCCATCTTATACATATCATCGGTAAGCTTGATAAGCTGTCCCAAAATCTTTAGGAACACCTCTTTTTTACTATATTCTTGAGAAACATAGACCCATGCACGATTGTAGAATTCATATTCAATTTTAGGATCGCGAAATATAATTTTAGCCAGTGTCGTTTTACCGAGGCCAGGCATACCAATGATTGAGATAACTTCTAGTTCCTCCAATCCTTCATTCAGAAGTTTGATCAATTTTTCTGCCTCATCTTGAAAGCCCACCACGTTTTCTTCCTCTACAATGGGAACCTATGTCATGGTGAATGGTTATATCACAAACTTGGGATCCGATAAAAGTGAAATAGAGATTAGAATGCATTGAAGATGGTAATAAAATGGTGAATTGTACACTTTCCACAAGATGGGATAGTATTTATGTCCATATCCATATAATAACTCGTATTGATGTCAGATTCCTAAATGAGAATACACGTAACTTTGAGAGCTTGTCTAAATTTAAAAGTTACTTTCCTACAAAAAAATAAACCTAGTTAAAAATGTAATTTTTAAATAAGTTTTGACTCATTTTTAAGCATAACCAAACATGCTCATGTTAAACCCATGAAATTAATTCCAACTTTCATACTGATTAGTAAGAAAAAGATCAAGAATCCAACAAATGGATCAATTTTCTTACTACTGAATAATAATAAAAAGAACTAGTCCAAAGTTGATTGCCTTAAAGACAGTGTGTGAACTATACAATAAAATATCTAAGTTAAAAAGTTAATAATCTATAATTTACCTTCCTCTCTATATTAATTGTTTTTTTTTTTTTTTTTAATTAAATTCAATCAACTAATGCAGATAAAAAATAATATTATACCTTTCTCTTTGTTGTAATTCTTTCAGATCCCTCCCCATATTGCAGTGCAGCAAAACCAATCTTCTTGCTATCATACATATTCTTCACCATCGTCATGATGGATTTAACCTCTTCAGCCACATTTCGAAGATTTGCCACATAATTTTTGCCGTGGAGAGCTTTTTCAAAGTAGCTTTTGGTCTTCGGAACAGATGTAAGCGAAACAAATGTTTCAACAGCGTCTTCTGCATTATATACCACTTCCCTGGTTTGTCTCGCCACTGATTTCATATATTCGTTGCTATTCCGCTTTTCTGTCGAGTCCTTGAGAAAACCTTTTAGCAAATCTAACTCGTTGTACAGAGATTCAACGTCACTCTTCACGTCACGAATCAGATCAACACTGTAAAGAAGCAGTTGCTTTAGGGTTTCTAGCAGAAATTCTACAGCTGCATCGGCCATTTCTTTCTTATATTAATTCTTAATGCCAAAATCTGCTTCTTCCTTTTTTGCCTTTTTTTTTTTTTTTTTTTTTGGGCGATGTGAACGGTTGAAAGAGGGGAAAGATTGAGGCAGGAGCTGAGAAAATGCTGTCGGTTTTCAAGGAGATTTGGATAATTTTGTTCTTTTAACCTTGGGAAAGTCGGGCCGGGCTCAATTATAAACCTACTCGATCGATTGAATCATTCTATAATAAAATTTTCCAGAATAATTAAATATAGTGATTATAAAAAAGGAATGTAAATAGAAATGACAACTTATTCAAAATAACAAAGAAAAGGAAACAGGCCTCGCACTTTGCTTAGTGAATGGCCAAACAAAACTTTAATAGGGTTAAGAAGTTATTTGGAACTCTTAAATCCAATTCTTATAATAGAGGAGATAGCTTGAAATGGAGGTGAGCCCAATGAATTGAGTTTAGAACGGATTTTTCAAGTTAGATTTAAGTGATATAGGGAGGATTGCACTTGTACTATAAGTAATGAGTTTTGGGCAAAGTAACGACAATACCTTACATTAAAGCAGAAGACACTGATAGCTGATCGGTGGCGGATTTTGACATTGTTATTGCTATGTTTTTCTTCTTGTGTGTATTGGTTATTACTGGTAGTGCACACAAAATGTTCAAAGCTTTCCTGTGTATGGTGAAAAAGATACTATCAGTTCAATATTCAAGTTCGAAAAATTCAATTATATGCAAGTAAGAAGAAAGAAAGAAAAATATGTTTAAGTTTCCACTTTTTCTCTTAGGAATTTTACTAAGGATGCATTTGATTGTAAATATTTTCCATAGAAAATGACTTTTTTCCATTCAAATTCCCACTTTTACGCTGTTTGATTGATAATTTTTTCCATGGAAAATGTTATCCATCTTTTGGTCAAGTGACTATATTTTTCTTGAAAATAAGGATAATACTTTCTTGAGGTGGAGTAGGAGGTAGAGTGGGATTTTATTTTCAATGGAATTCAAAATTTCCCAAAATTCTACTTTACGCAACCATCTATCTACTCACATGCCCTATCTCTCTCTCTCTCTACCCATGTTCAAAAGGAGGATTGATATAAAAGGCTTGGTCAAACTAAACATTTGTCCAAGAAGACCAAGAACTAAGGCCTTTAGTTGAATGAGCCTAAAGTTATTAAGTCATTGTTTGAGCCCCATTTTTCAACCAAAATACATTTTTCAACAGTGATTTGCCATCATTTCAACCTCACATTCTTCAATAAAATAATATTATACGCAAATCAAAAACTTTTCCTTATTTTTTAATCACATATTTCTAATCAATACACTATTCAAAAATTCATTTTCTTCACAAAAATGGGGCTCAAACAAGGGCTAAATATGGAAAATAAAATTTGTAAAAGACTAAAATATCCTTGTATGTAAAATGATATTATTGTTCTAATTTTCATTTCAATTTCCTTTCAACCCTAATCTTCTTCCATTCTCTATGAACGACTCGACCACAGTAAGTGCCTCCATGCTAATTTTCTTATCATCATCTTCTTCTCTACTTAATGAAATCACAAAATTTACATTCTCATTCCTTTGAACATTCATTTGGTTGAAATGAATAATAAAGTCTTACTATATTTTTACTGGGCATTTGGAGAAGAAGAGAGGGTATGATAAATTTTCAATATTTGAGCACTTTCTTTCTTCATTGTTTTGAACCATCTGTTCATGTTGTTGTATATATGTTTGTGGTGTTCATTTGTCAATACTGATTTTGAATTCATTTTATGATTAGATTGAAGCTTTAAATGGGTTACTTCCCAATCTTATTCTCATTATTCCTTATTTGTATTCCTTAGTATTAATTGAAGTGAAATGTGAAGTGGTGAAGGATGATTGGCTATTATTCTCATTGTTTTCACGTGAAACATACATTTGATTTTTAGTACAGAACGACATACATATCGTTTTCTGAAATCGTGAACGACATAAATATCGTTTTCTGAAATCCATGACAACGTATATATCGTTATCAATACTTTATGATGTTTGAAATTTGATGGAATTTATATGTTGAATTACAGGTTATGGACACCATGGACATGGTATGAATATCGATTTGTTATCTAATTGAATATGAGCATACAGTTGAAGGTGCATGGGAATGGAAGTATTCTGGAAATGACAAAGGGAAAACAATACATATTCTTGTTGTAAAAATAATTTCTTACATGGAACTATATGATAAAGTTAAGGAGGCATTGAATATCGATACGAGTCTATACAAAATAGAGATTTCAGCTCTTGTCCCGATAATGTCTAAAGCTCCAGCTGCACTAATCACAATTGATTGTGACAACAATGTGAAGTGGTTTATATCTGCCTGTACAGAAACTTTTCTTTGTGTAAGTATTTTAAATGAGGTTGTTGAGAATCGAGAAGATTTTGATGATGAATGATGTTTATTAGTAATAGATGGTGGAGAACAAATTGAAAATATGAACAACGAGGCGGAACATGATCGAACAGACAACGATGGTAATGATGACAATGGTGATGGAATATTTGTAGATTATAATTGTTTTGACGTAAGTGAAGATAGTCCCTGAAGAGTAAATGATGAAGCTAATTCTCCTGTAGCATATGACAATAATTTTGAGTTACATACGTATTAACCTTTTAGTATGAATATAGTGAATGGTAATGATGTAGAATGTACTTATATTGTATCTTCGCTCTGTTACGAGACATCGGTAAAAATTTAGGAACGATTAGATGTGCAAGTCAACCAGTTGTTTCCATTGAAATATGACCTAATATCAAAATTGCAGTTGCTAGCTATAACGTGTCACTTTGAGTACAAAGTTGAGAAGTCAAATAAGAGCACTTATACAATTGTTTGTATTGATGAAAATTGCAAGTGGCACTTACGAGCAACCAAGATCGTAGAAAGTCCTTTTTTCTAAGTTCGAAAATACAATGGTCATCATTCTTGCTCCATGAGTGTTCATCACAGAGATCATAGGCATGCTTCATATATGATTATTGGAAACCACAACGCTCCTAAGTATGAAGATGTCAACCAAGTTTACAGACCAAGGGACATTATTAATGACATTCGTCGAGAGTTCGGTATAACCGTAAGCTATACTAAAGAATACATGGCCAAAAATTTTGTTTGTGGACTGATTTGTGGGAAACCCCGTGAGAGTTATGCGAAATTGCCAATATATTGTCATGTTTTGGAGATGTAAGATTCTGGTACACTAACATTCATTCATACTAATGATGATCGACGCTTTAAGTACCTTCATATAGCACTGGGACCAAGTATACATGGGTTCCTCAACTCAATGTGAAAGATAATTTCTATAGATGGTGCATTTTTGACATCGAGAATGAAAGGTACTCTACTCATAGAAACTTCCCAAGATGCAAATTTTCAAATATTTCTACTCGCATGGGGAGTAGTTGATTCGGAGAATGATGAATCCTAGACTTGGTTCTTTCAAAAGTTGCGGTTAATAACAGGTGATACGGATGACCTTGTGATTATATTTGACCGTGCAACATGCATAAAAAATGGACTTAGAAATGTGTTTCGATTTGTTCATTATGGTAATTGTATATATCACTTGCAAAAAAACTTGAAGACAAATTTTTCAGGTGTGATGTTGCAACTTTGTTTAGAGCAGTGTCGAAGACTTATACTGTAACTGAATTTGAGTCCTACACGAAAGCTCTATGCAGTAAAAAGGAGGGCATCCAAGAGTACCTATTAGAAGAAGATTTTCATTATTGGGCTAGAGCGCATTTTACCGAGATATGTTACAATATCATGACTACGAATAATGCGAAATCTACAAATGGTTTGTTGAAGAGTACTTGAGAACTTCCCATAGTTGGTTTAATAGAATATATTCGTGAAATACTACAAAGGTAATTTTATGAAAGACATGTTGAAGCAGAAAAATGTGTGACCCAACTCACGTCATCATTAGGAAAAAAAATGTGCATGACATATAATGAGTCAAATAAGTTGGAGGTAAATCAAGTTTCTCCGGACATTTATCAAGTTGGTGATAATTTAGAAAACCACTTTGTGGATTTTTACGAAATGACATGTACGTGTAGAAGATTTGATTTGGACAAGTTTCCAAGTGCGATGCAATTGCTGTCGCAAGGTTTAAAGGAGACGACGGCTACAAATTATGTACCCCCTTTTACACTAGTATTTGTTGGGAGCAAGCTTATTCTACATTCGTATATCCTTCGCTGAACGAGGTCGAATGAAAAATTCCTAAGAATGTGATAGCCAAAGAAGTATATTCCACCATTGGTACGAAGAGAAGGGGGCGACCGTCAAAAAAGAGGAAATGGTCGGTCTGAGAGACGTGTGTGGCTCGTAAGTGAAGCAGGTGTAAGAAAATTGGTCATGTTCGATCCACTTGCACGGGCTAAGTAGCTAGTAGTGAACCTTAAAGTTGTAATACTATCGTGTCTTGTAACTTTACGATTTCGTACTTATTATTTCAATTGAATGAAATGACTTATTAGATTCTGAAGTCATTGCGTTATTAAAATATTTTTGTACCGTTGAAATCAAATTAAAGTATTTTAGGTATTCATGTTACTTTTTCTCATAGCTCATGTCTTTACAGTAGACATGAATGTCGTTCCAATTCAAAAATTGTACAGTTTAACATAACGATTTAGAACTCGTTCCGCAGACACAAAACGACATGCATATCATTTCAATGTTCAATACACACTGCTTCTCTGAATTGTGTAAAGACTTAGAACTTGTTATGACCACACATAACGATTTCAAAATTATTTCGGTTAAAATTGATACTAAAACGATTTAGAACTCGTTCCTGAGACACAAAACGAGATATGTATATCGTTTCAATGTTAAATACACCAGTTCTCTCAATTGCGTAACAACGTAGAACTTGTTATGACCACATATAACGTCTTCGAAGTCGTTTCAGTTAAAATTGATACTAAAACGATTTGGAACTCGTTCCTAGGACACAAAACGACATGCATACTTATCGAATTTGCGTAACGACGTAAAACTCGTTATGACCACACATAACGATTTCGAAGTCGTTTCACTTAAAATTGATACTAAACGATATTGAACCTGTTC